GTTCTGTTTATGAGGACACAGTAAGAAGGTGCCACCTATGAAATAGAAAGCAGGCCCTCACATCAAATCTGCAGGCACCTTGATCTTGGACTTCCAGCCTCCAGGACTATGAGGAATACATTTCTGTTTATCAGTCATCCAGTCTGTAGTTGTTTTTTTTTTTTTATAGCAGCCCAAATGGACTATGATAGTATCAATTTGAGGAAGTGAAAATTTAAAATATTTGTCTTATTTTTCAAATTTTCCAGTCATTGTCCACTTATGGAAGATTATCTTTCTGGAGTAAATCAAATGCTGAAGTAAATTTTCTGTAAGCAGGGTGAATATTTCCAAATAAAAGTATTTAGTTTAAATCAGTAAGTAAACTCTAATCTACCTAGTTCTCTCTCTCTCTCTCTCTCTCTCTCTCTCTCTCTCTCTCTCTCCCTCTCATTATTTCTCTCCTCACACTGAGGTGGCCAGAATGCTTCAAAGAGTTGTATATACCCTCTTTCTTCACTTTCCTATTTCCAGCTCATTCTCTAACCCACTTTAATCTGCATTCTCTCCTCCTAACTCTACCAAAGAGGCTCTCATTGAAGTCACCATCTTCAGATTTAATAGATGTTATTTAGTCTTCATCTTACTTGACCTCCCAGTAGCCTGTGACATGGTTGCTGAGTTCTTTTGTCATAGTCTCTTCCTTTGAAATCTGTGCATCCACTCTGAGCTTTTCCATTCCATTCCCCATCCTGCATCCAGAGTGATCGCCAAGAGAAGAAACCTGAATGTGTCACCCAACACTGACCTCCACATACAGACACTTAAAACTTACTAATGACTTTTCTTTGCCACCTTTCTGTTTACATAGTGACTGATTCATCTGCTCAGTCTATAAGCCTCCGTGTGACTGCACCCTGTCAGCTTCTCTGCCCTCCTTACGGAACCCCCCTCCTCCCACTCTGTAGTCTTCCATCCCCTCCTTGCCCATGTTAAGAGGGCTCCCGACCCCGGGCTTATAATCATGCTGCCCCCGTATCAGGTATTTTTCTCTTCTTATTTCACTTTCCCATCTTTGTCTCTTTAATGGCTGCTCACTCTTCTCAAAGTATCACATTTTAGGGACCCATTTCCTTGATGCCCACTCTGATTTATATTTGTTTATTATATACTCCCTTGGGATGGCATTCCTAAGATCATTAGCGTGATCATTTCCTTGATTGTGTTTCTCATCCCCAAGAATCTAGGGTACTTATGTTTTGCTCACTATGTAATCTCCAATATTTAATACAGCGTCTGCTTCATAGCAGAAACTCAAAAATGGGTTGGCTAAATGCCCACAACAATGCCATTTTAAAATGTAGCTAAACTTCCAGTTCTTTCAGGTACAGTTTTCTTATTATATGTCATCTGATATTAACAAAAAAAAAGCATCCTTGGATGTTAGTGTCTATAGCTGAGCACTGAATTTTCTGGATGACTTTAAATATAGAACCCTGACAGTGTTTACAGTTATTCCTTTAACTTTCTGACTCTAATCCTTAAGAACTATGAGCAGCACTTTAAG